TATATTAAAAAAAAAAATAAAATAAAAATAAAAAATTTTTAAGAAAAAGGGAAAAAAAAGGGGAAAAAAAGGGAAAAAGGGAGGGGGAAATTTGCTCGAATTCTCACAGGAATATCACAGGAAAATTCATATTAAATATTAAATTTATCATCCATCAGCCCTATTCCATCTTATCCTCAAGGGATGCCATTCCCAATTCCATTTTTCCCGTGCGAAACCCCCTTCTCGCTGTGATCCGGCTCTGACTCTGCCTTTTTTCCCTCCTCTCTACAGGAAAATCTCTCCTCTCTCCGACCCTCGAGACGGAGCCGAACCCCGCGGAGCCTCCGCGCCCCCTCCCCCGGCAGCGGCAGCGGCAGCGGCAGCGGCGCAAACCGCGCGTTCTCTTCTCGCAGTCGCAGCTGCTGGAGCTGGAGCGGCGTTTCCAGCGGCAGAAATACCTGTCGGGCCTGGAGAGGGAGCAGCTGGCGCGGCTGCTGCAGCTCAGCCCCACGCAGGTCAAGATTTGGTTCCAGAACCGGCGCTACAAGAGCAGGAGGCAGCGGCAGGAGAGGAGCTCGGAGCCGCCCGCGCCCGCGCTGCCCCCGCGCACGGTGCCGGTGCCGGTGTTGGTGAGGGAYGGGCGGTTCTGTATGGAGGGATCCCGGCCCTATTTGCACTATGGGATCGGCGGGTTTTATTCCTACCCTTTGTACGGTGGAGATTTTGGGGCGGGGGACGCGGGGGGAAATCGCGGAGTGTCCCCGAGTGTCACCGCCGGGGGAGATCTGCGCCAACCCCCGGCTGTGCCCCCGGGCAGTTGGGGGTGAGAGCGGCTCTGTATGGGGGGATCCCGGCCCTATTTCCCCTTTGGGATCGGCGGTTTTTGTTCCTACAGATCCTTCTACAGTGGAGATTTTGGGGCGGGGGAAAATCGCGGAGTGTCTCCGAGTGTCACCTACGGGGGAAATCAGCTCCGATCCCCGGGGAGTTGGGGGTGAAAGCGGCCCTGTATGGGGGGATCCCGGCCCTATTTCCCCTTTGGGATCGGCGGGTTTTATTCCTACGGTGGAGATTTTGGGGCGGGGGACGCGGGGGGAAATCCCGGAGTGTCCCCGAGTGTCACCGCCGGAGGAAATCAGCTCCAATTCCCGGGGAGCTGGGGGTGACAGCGGCTTTTTATGGAGGGGTCCCGGCCCTATTTCCCTTTTGGGATCGGCGGGTTTTATTCCTACTCTTTGTACGGTGGAGATTTTGGGGCGGGGGACGCGGGGAGAAATCCCGGAGTGTCCCCGAGTGTCGCCTCCGGGGAAATTCAGCTCCAGTCCCCGGGGAGTTGGGGGTGACAGCGACGAACGCTCCGAAAAAGCTCCAGACCCGAGCCCAAATCACGGCAGGAATAAAATTKAAAAGATTTCAGGACAATTCCGGCAAATCCAGCGCTGGAAAGGCCGGAGAGAGGGGGCGCTGCCACCTCAGCGCCGGGACTGTGGGCACGCCGTAAATTATTTATTATTAAATAGGAGAATTTGGAGCCTGCCAGGGGATTTTGCCGCCAGGAGGCTCCGAGCGCTGKTTTTATTCCTCAGGATAAATGGAAAACAGGATTCGTGCTCGTCCCCGTGYTTTGGGATGGACAGGATTTAATATTTTTAGTCCCGATAATTTTGCGATTCATTTCTGATTTGCGTTTCTTAATATTTCCCAGCACAAGTGTCGATTTTTATCTTTATTATTAATATTATTATTATTAATATTATTACTATTAATATTATTATTATTTGTAAATAAAAACCAAATGGGTGGAATTGTGATTTCGCTCTCCTGTCATTTCTCGCTTCGCGTTTTGAATTTTCCCATTGGTGATTTGCACCCGAGCGCCCGAACCTGAGCCAAAATAAAAATAAAAATAAAAATCAAATCCTGAT